TTTGACTGGTAACAATATTTTCCCGTTTTTAAATGTGGAATGATTATTCACTGAACTTATTTCCATTTATTTCGGTTTTGGATTCGATTATTAGTCAAGATAAATCCAATAGTACATGAATTTAATGTCAATATTAGGGGTTACTTAATGAAATATGAACATAAATCCCCTCTATATATAATTCCAGAATATAATTTCAGAATGCGCAAAGTCTACGTGGCAAATTCTCATGTTTCGGAATCCTATTTAGCAAAAACACATGCTTTGGAGTTAGACTTGGATATAAATTAATATTTTTTATCACACTAAATCCATGATTGATTTTTTCCTTATTACTTCTACAATTAGTTACCATAAACTATTTTATGTTTCATTTTTCTACATTACCATGCATCACATTTCATTTTCTTATATAACTAGTACGTACCCCGTGCGATGCACGAGACAGATATATTAAATGCTTTATTTTCACAGCCTTGTCCGTTTAAGTCTACAAAATAATAGGGTTATCTATTTTCTACCTCTTTTAATCAACGTTAAGTCTTAAAAACAATAAGTTTATTATAAGTTTTTATCCACATCTTTTAGCCGTTGTTATTTTAGCCTGAACATTAAGTATGAGCATGTTAAGGCTAGCTTGTAAAATAATTAATATATTATCTCACTAAAACATTTATATATACAATAAAAATTTAATTTTAGCATATAAATTTATCCCTTGATATAAGAGAAAGTAACAATTTTACTTATTGTTGTTCACTATATAATATATAATTATTATTTTATTATATAATAAAAAAATTGTTAAATAGTGTAGTAGAATTGTTATAAAATTATATGAATTATTATTTTTTATAATATGGATTTAATATCTTTTTATGATTTGATAATATAAACAAATCTATACTTACCTTTGACTTTTTCAGCAAAGGTAAAAAAATCGGTTCTGATTTTTATCCTATAACAAATCTTTAAGGTCAAGCCTATAAGTACCAAAACAATCTGTAATTAATGACATTCTATTTCCAGCAAACATTAATTACCTTTGACTTTTCTGCCTACTATTTCTAGTAAATAGGATGCCTTTTTATATAAGTATAGATTCATTCATTAGTTTTTATGAATGTTTCTTCTTCTTATTTTAAGATTTTATAACTTTTTTGTTTGTATTTTATTTTTCATATATGATATATCAAATTAACTATCTTTTAACATTTTTCGATTTGACAACCATATTATATATATATAAAATACAAAACAGTAATATATATCCTTATAAATAACATTTAAATTTATTATCAAACTAAATTAAATTATATCAAATAACAACAACAACAACATACCCAGTATATTCCCAATAGGTTGGGGTCTGGGGGGTCAGTTGTACTCAGACCTTACCCTTGTAATTATACAAGGAGGCTGTTTCCGTAGCGACCCAAGGTGCATTGCGCCGTTTGATATATATTTTTTTTTTTTCTAGAAACTTCACTAATAGATGAAGCACTAGAATTTAATTGAGCCATTTTGATCTAGTCCATTATTTGCACTATGCCAGGAGAATTGTCAACAATGACTCTTCCAGCTCCATTTGCAATGGACAAAAATTATATCAAATAAAACTATAAATTATATTATAAAGTAATAGAAAGTGGTATATATTATTTTAAAAATAATATTTATTTCAATTCTAATTTGTATGTTGTCAATCTAATAAAAATAAATAAATTATTTATCTGAATTCTAAAATTACATATAAAGTTAAAAAACTGTGAAGTACGAGTGATACGACACTTGATGTATTACACATCTAATTAAGTAAAAAAATTAATCTATTTTGATGAGTATTAAGGCTATGTTTGGTAAACCAATAAGCTAGCTTATAGCTTATTTGATTAGCTTATAAGCTCCATGTATTTAAATAAGCTCCGTTTGGTAGGACGAGCTTATTTAAAAAGCTCGAGCTTATTTGATAAGCTTCTTTTGGTAGCTTTTCAAATAAGCTCGTTGAAATTTTTATTTCAGCTAGCTTATCAGCTAATTTTACTAAACACTTTTATCATATAAGCTAACTTTTCAGCTATAAGTCATAAGCTATAAGCTATAAGTTCGAAAATTACTAATAAGCTATCAGCTAGCTTATCAGCTATCAGCTAGTTTTACTAAACATATTCTATACTTATGCATATACACATCACTATATTATTTCTATTTATTTAAGATACATATTTTTGTACTTATGTAATAGTAAATAATATCGATATTTTTATATGATATAAGTAAAAAAATTCAACACGGGTTGACATTTTCATTTAATGTACGGGTGTTTAATTGTTATGATTAAAAAAATATAATTTAACAATTTAATTAAAACCCAAAGTAATGTTGTATATAAAATTAAATTATTTTAGTTTTTAAAAAGAATAAAAAATTTAATATTTTTTACAAAAACTTTCTAATTCAACACCCGTGTAATACACGGGTATTGTACTAGTGCATATGATAGACGAAAAGCCAGTCACAGTACAATTATAACCCATATTCTTATATTGGTCATTGTAAATATTTTCTTATAATATTGTTTATATTGTAATCAAATATTTTGTTTCACTTTTATATTTCATTTTATGTCCTTTTTCATTTGATGAATGACATTTGCATAAATATCATTTCACTTATATCAACATAGAGACATGAAAAATCCTATTCTAACAATTTCAGCCAATTAGATCAATTCATTTAAAATACCAATAGAAGAATGGATCAATTTCAACTTCCATCTCCAACTATAAAAAACTGAAAGTTGGATTATTATATATCTTATACCATGTATAAGATGTAATTATTAATTATTTATGTAAGTGTCTATACCTCAACTGCTCCAAGAAAAAAAAAACCTGGCAAGGATCAGCAGATAGAGTTATTGTTTGTTTGGACAGATTACAAAATTGGATTATTATAATTATTACTTATATAACACAAGAGGACATAACAACTACTCCATTAATATTATAATATAAGTACTCATATTTGCTGGGCCAATCATAATATAAGCATTGTTACTAAATCATTGACTAAAATAATTAAATAAATTAATTATATAACGTAGGTGACAAGGTGGCCCTAACGAGAGCCAATGGAAACCTCATAGTGCAATGCATGGGACGCCACGTCACCGAAAACACGGCGAACAAAACTCCCATGCATTTTTTACTGATTATTAATTTTATAAATTAATTAGTATTCATATATATATTGGGAAAAAAATTGTAAGTGAACATCCATAACATGACAAAAGGAAAAAACCCAATAAAGAAAGCACAATAGCTAATGGTCAATAGGTTCACATTCAAAGTTGAATTCCTTTCGATACATCATTTTTCTTTAAAAGAAAAAAAAGAAAAAAAAAAAAAGAAGCAATTTTGTAAAATCTACCCAATAATATGCCAACAAAAAAATTATTTTAATACGTGAGTTAGTGGACATGTTTTTGTTATGTTTTATAATTTAACAGTGGATTTTTTTGCATTTTTTTTACACTTTTAGACACATCGATTTTTAGTAGTTATGTATTGAGTCATTTCTACAATTGATAAAGTAGAAAAGAAATACACGTTGTTGAAAAACAATATTAAGTACGAATTATCCTCAAAATAATGTATTGAAGGCGTATATAGATACCTCAAATCATACAAGAAATAGACAATAAATAAAATATTTAAAGTAAGAAAATTTTAAAACTAAAAAAGAGCTAAAGTTGAGTTGCAAATGATAAAATTTGACTCAGAATCACTTAGTCCATCTCCGTTCCGTATACATTGTTATAACTCGTATTCCACGTGTTTCAAATGAATTGGGAAAATTATAATATGAAATAAATATATTAGTATTATAATTAGTGTCAAACATCAATGCCATTTCTCAATTAAGCCTGTAAATATTATTGAATGCGAGTTGACTAGGCCCGCACTATCATGCAGTCCCCCTACATTTATTAGTCCAAAACTATACTGCACAATCATAATTTGATACTTCCTTCTATAAATGTCGTTTTGAAAATATCGTTTTGAGAAGTTATACAGTAATTAAGAATCATTTTTTTACCAATAATAACTCTCATTAATGAGGATATAGATGAATGTTTTGAGAAAAAATGAAGAGTGAATATGAAAAGACGTAGTGTATTTATTAGATAGATGAGGGTAATAATGGAAAAATATGTATAAAATATCCAAAACGACATTTATTTAGTAAATTGTTGACAAAGCTAAAAT